CTGCAGCAATCTGTGCTAGAAGATAGCAGTAGTAGATTTCTTTATTAACACACAATTTAATACTCCTACATTTTGTTTGATTGACTGGGCATTGACCCACGCAGAGAGAGGGTAAGTACGAAGAATCTGATAAGGGAATCTTGCTGTGAAATAGGTGTGTTTATCCTATCAGAATCTCGGTATTTATGGTTGACCCCCCGGTACACTTTTTCGTTGACAGCGACAGGGGTATTTTGTAAGCACGACACATCCAATTTCGCGGTTACCCTGCCTATGTACATACTTTCCTGCTGGTGCGCCGGCCGAAACCCTAGCCCTGCAAACCAGCCCCCAGCCCACCCAGCGGAACTCTTTATAATGAAATACTAGATATAATCATTCAATAGTCGGCTATGAGCAGTGAATAGTGAATGAGGGGGGGGAGGGAAGGAAGTTAGGGGAGGGAGGGTGGAAGAGGGAGGGTGGTGGAGGGAGAGGCGGTGGAGGGAGAGGCGGTGGATGGAGAGGGGGATAAGGGTGGGGGGGATGAGGGTGGTGGGGGACCAGAGGTGGAGGTAGAGAAACGGTGAAGGGAGCTAGCATATATTGGAGTTGGCACCGGAGTTGGCATTGGAGCTGGCATTGGAGCTGGCATTGGAGCTGGCACTGGAGCCCGAGCTGGCACACGAGCTGGCATACATTGGAGCTGGCACTAGGCTTGGCATTAGAGCTGGCAGAGATAGCTGATAACTAGTGGAAAGAGATGCATCGCTCCAGCAAGATCAAGGCATTTATTCGACATGCATGGCCGGGAAATAGCACTTGGCAGCCAAGAGAGTGTGTGTTGCATGACCTTTCGTAACGCACACTTCACCAGAGCTTCCTAGAACCAATACCCGACAGAGCTGCGGGGAGGGGTTATTGCTTTGCATTTTATCTATATGAATTCCAGGGCCAAGACTATAAAAATCCATTGACTAGTTTTTTGGTTGCTATGGGCGGGGTCCATACAAATTCTAAATTCTAAATTTATTTATTGGCATATTTATTTGTTTGCTGTTGTGTTAGGTACCGGTGCAACACATCATGGGAACACCATACAAAACCAGAAACACCAAAGATTGGTGGAGGGCACACGCCCGAAGAGGAGACACAAAATTCTAGAATTCCCTAAGCTCCATCTTGAGATAATTTCCAACTACCCTTCTGTCCTAGTACATCGCGGTAGCAGAAGTCATTGACCGGCAACCGAACCAGAGCAAAATTCACCACCACCCTCAACATAGTTGCCGTTAATAATTCTCAAGTATTTAGGGGTTGGAATCTTGGCTATTAATCTAATACGTCTAAAAGCCCACACTCCCTGAAATCAGAGGGGGGGGGATTTGGTTGCATCCCATACAAAGATGTGGTCTTGGCACGTTTTTGACAACAAGATCAACACAGCTCATGCTAGTGTGTAATATTCTAATTCTCGGTCTATAGAGCGATTATCCATATACAAATACAAGTCGTTTCCGGCCTTCAGCCGGTTGAGACAATCATGACAAAAGCAGCTAAGAAGGTTCAAATAACCTATAATCGACTTGATGGATTTACTTTAGGATGGTTATTGATAGAATACTAACAAAAAGCAACATCACTCTCTACCTAAGTTAAGCCCTAGGTCATAACTAATACCAATAATAATAAAAACACCCCGAAATTCCACCAATCGGGGTGAGTTTATATCACTCTCAATATTGCCTATGAGTCGCCGATGTCAATACTGACAAAAATGAAATTTGAATAGGCAAGGTCTTCTATCATCGATACAGACGAAGGGATACGGTCAAGCGCTCGCCGGCTGGTGCAGATCGGGCGAAGGGAGGAGCGTGTTCACGACGTCGTGAAAAGGTCGAGAAAGAATACCGAATACCGCAGTAATGCCGTGATGTCTGGCAATCTAATCTAATCCATCAGCCCAGCCAATCTGATCCATCAGTCCATCCAATCTATCCATCAGTCCATCCAATCTAATCCATCAGCCCAGCCAATCTAATCCATATCTAATCTAATCCTCCCCCATCTCCATCTAGGGCCCCAGCCCTCCCACCCACAGTCCCACCGCACAACGGCCCCCAGCAGCAGCCCACACAAGCCCGTTGCACCCCAGGCCGCGCAAACCCTCCGCCAAAAAAAAAACACCACCACGACGACGACGACCGACCGACCCAAGTAGCCCCCAGGAAAAACCAAGCACACCCACAAAAAAATCCAGCACAACCATGGCCACCGAATTGACCGTCCAGTCCGAGCGCGCTTTCCAGAAGCAGCCCCACATCTTCCTCGCCAGCAAGACCCGCACTGCGAAGCGCAGAGTCGGAAAGGGTGGGAGGAGATGGTACAAGGACATTGGGTTGGGCTTCAAGACCCCAAAGACCGCCATTGAGGGGAATTATATCGGTTAGTTGCCCTTTTGTGCCTTTTTTTTTTTTTTTTTTTTTTTTTGTTGGATGGATGGAGCGGGGGAGAAGGAGGGAAGGGCGGGGTGGGGGGGGGGGGGGGGAAGGAGGGTGGTGTGGGTAGAAGTTTTGGCTGTGCATCAAAAGCTCCCGAAATTCAAGATTTCGAGAAAACGGGGTTTACTATGGGATTTTCAGGAAGGAGAGAGGGACAAGAAATACTAACAGAAAGCACAGACAAGAAGTGCCCCTTCACCGGCCTGATCTCCATCCGCGGCCGTATCCTCACCGGCACCGTCGTGTCCACAAAGATGCACCGCACCCTCGTCATCCGCCGCGAGTACCTGCACTACATCCCCAAGTACAACCGTTACGAGAAGCGCCACAAGAACCTCGCCGCCCACGTCTCGCCCGCCTTCCGTGTTGAGGAGGGCGACCAGGTCACCGTCGGCCAGTGCAGGCCCTTGTCCAAGACTGTTCGTAGCCTTTCCCCCCCCCTTGACATGAGACTTGAGAAGAGCTACGGGCAAGATGTCGAGCGCGTGTTCTATCAATCCACAAAAGGTTATGCAGGCAGGCGGTGTTCGTTATGATGATGACGATGAAACCCCGGCCGCACGATACCTGGAGCGAGACGAACCGCGCGAGCGTCGAGACCCCCCTCGAGTACGTGTCCCCAACATGCAGTGTGCTGATCCGTGGTTGGTGCTAGGTCCGCTTCAACGTCCTCCGTGTCCTCCCCCGCACCGGAAAGAACACAAAGTCGTTCCAGAAGTTCTAGATGTTGGGATTTTTCTTCGGGAGGGGGGGTCAAGGTCTTGTGTTTTTTTTTTCTGCTCTGCTCTAGTATCTTCTTGCAACAATTAAAAAAAAAAAACATGGGGAAATAATCTTCTTCCGGTTCAGGTCTACATGCAACGTGGATAGCTACTACTACTATATTATGGTGACAGAATCTGGCCAAAAACGGGGTGGGCGGGGGGGGGGATCTAGTGCGGAAGAGACAGGGACGGGAGATGGGGGTTTTTCGATGGGAAATACTAGAGCAAACAAAAAGCAAAACAAAAAGAAGAATATCTTGGGATTTGATCGAAAAAGGGCGTTTTATTTTTTTTATTTTTATTTTCAATTTTTAGCTTTTCTTCTTGTCTTTTCTTTGGGCATATGCATGCGGGCGGGCGGGTGCTGGGAAAAGTTGGAATGTGAATATGGGTTTCAGACATGTTCTGCTCTGTTCTGTCGGGTTCAAAGCTGTCTTCTGTAGATAAAAAGCCTGTGATGACGATTGGCGCCCATAATAATCCGAGCTCCAAGCTCCCCCCAAATACAGCCAAAGCACCCCACCCAACCCACAAAAAAAACACCAGGTATCCCCCCCCCCCTCCCCCCCGAGCCCATAGCCCAACCCCAAACCTCATCACCTCCCCACTCCCACCCCCTCCACCTCCACCTCCACCTCCACCCCCACCCGCCCCCCAAACCCCGGAAGTCACCTCTGCCCCTTCTTCTCCTCCACCTCAATCTTCACCACATGCTCCCCCGGCACCACCACAAGGCCAATATACCTACTCTTCAAGTCCAGCCTCACCGCCTCCGCCCCCGCCCCCGCCCCCTCCTTCTCTGCCGCCGCAGCAGTGCCCACGTCCTGCGCGCTCGGGTAGCGGTACTCGTGCGTCGACGAGAGAATCAGGTTCTTGTCCTGCGCCGTACCCCGCTCTCCCGTCTCAGCCCCCCCTCCCCAACCAAAAGAAAAAGAAAAAAGAGAGGAGGAGGAGGAAACTTACCTTGTCGGTGCACTTGAGCTCGCCCAGGAACACGCGGGTGTCGGTGGTTGTGACGCGGAGCGTGCGCGAGATGAAGGACTGCAGGAACGGCGACGGGGTGGGCGTGGTGTCGGGGACGTTCATCTCTACGGTGCGTTTGGTTGGTTGGTTGGTTGTGGGTGTTGGAGGATGATGTGTGGGCAGGATGATGTTAAAGTATAGGATATGATGGGATGGATGGGTTAGGGTTTTTGGGGGGATGGGCTCTGGGTTGGACTGGATGGTTTACTGACTGGCTCCTTTCCAACAGGTTCATCGACGGTTTATGGGATTCTCCATTGGCAGCAGAGCAGATCGAACAATGGGAAAATCGCCAAAGTCTCCAAAAGTCCCTAACTGTGAAGAACTCTGCATTTTATATGGGAGCCACCAATTATCATCAATCACACCGGCCAGGTCCGGCCTTGGCGCACTACCTGAAAAATACAAAAAAAATAACTGCAGAACAGCGCTGGCTCCCAGCTTCCCATAGATAATATCCGAAGTTCATAAGCCCTTGTGGGGATCAAGTTGGGTGCAAACGAGAGTCCAATTGCGGTCTCTGAGGTTGCGTTGCAAAAGATGCTATTCAAGTATGTACTTTTTCTGGCGCCAAGTATCATTTTCTGCAGCTTCAACCAATCATACGCCAAAAAAGGGTTCTTCAGACTAACCAATAACACCGGTACCTTCTGTGGACGCCGGGTGGCTGAACTTAGAGAGCTCTCGGGTTCGAAAAAAATGGCAAGTCTCTGTACCAATTGTAACTATTTTGTGCTCTGACTCGGAGTTGAACCGAGGATCTCAGCATCTCATACTAGTGCTGCGCCTTACCAACTTGGCCACCAGAGCAGATGTCCTCGTCTGTGAATTTACCAAAGTGTGCGGCCGTTACCAACGCAGGCTTTGCATGAGACGATAAAAGTCCGAATGCCTTGCGAGAGGTTTTAGAAGTTTAGTCTGGAACGGGAGCGGTAGATCCAACACGGTAGTCAAAGTTAAATCTCCGTTTTTACGGGCCCAATGATCAGCTGCGGTTGTATCCGTGTCATGGAAAATCACTCGGGGCAAGGATCTCAGTGACGAATCGAATGTTCCCCGTGTTCTACTCTAGCGCGTGCAGTTTGCAGAATTAGTACTGTAGGTATTGAACGATCCACCAGGCGCATACTAGTAGGGGTCACACTGCAGTACTGATCCGGCAGCGTGCAACAGAGACCGAGGTAATTTATTGCCCCACAGCAGCAGCTGCAGAGGGAGAGGGGCAAGAAACAGATCGCTGCATGCAAACAAATATGTATGCGGATACTGATGGCGCGCCACATACACAAGGAATCTGAGGCGAAAAGGCAAGTTCAACAAAGGATTTGTTTGGAACCTGAAATGATGACATCCGGTAACGGTTAAAGGTTAACCGATGTCGGCACGGGAGCTGGAGTTCCGGGTTCTCGGAATTGGTCTATCTGTTCCTTGTTCTGCACGCATCGCCTTCTCCTCAGAGTGACGTGAATTTGAGAGAACTACATGCACGTATGTAGATGTTCTCCACTTTTAGTACACGCGTGCGGCCTGTCCTGCTGTTCTTTGAGAGTCGTGTTTTACAACACTCAGTCAGTTTGGGGGGGGGTTTTTTTTGGCTGTATATGAACGTTAACACGTTCAGAGGTCAATTATTTTCTTTGCGTGTCTTGAATAACAACCAGGGGATTGATCCCTTACTTTAAGTGAATGAATGCTTGCCGCTGGAAAGGGGGCTGCTATGCAGTTGCCATATATACCCACAGGAGAAATATACCAGACTTCAGGGCCTCTTACGGTTCTGGTCCTAGTTCGGGTATGACGGGGGTGGCTTGTCAGAGTTCTTGTTGCATGACGCATTGAGAATATGATGTCATACCTCAAATCCGTTTTCAGAAGAAGAGCAAGAAGAGCAAGATGAGAAGAGAAAAGGGCTTCTTACTCGTCCCAATTTCTCTACATCTTCTTCCTCTTCTTTCTTTTCTTCTTCCTCTCACATTTCTCACACCTATACAGCTTCTCTCTGAAACTGGTTGGTTGCCACTTGATCTTCGCTGGGAATACGTTGGAATAATTCTAGCTCTCCTAGCTGGCCTGCATAGCTCCCTGCATATAACCTTAAGCCCTAACCTTTCTACACTACACTTTATTCAATCAATTGACCCTTCTCATCATCCATACTCCTATCATCAGAGCGCAGAACCTCGATTTTTTCTGGCCCTTATACACATCAGTGTAATTATAATCATTCAGAATGCATCGAACCTACTCCATGCGGCAGTCGAGGGCGCCGACCCAGTCGCAAATCGAGAAGCCACCTCCTCCGCAAAGCTCCACGAAAGTTGGAAGGCTGTTTGGAACCTCAAACATAGGTTGGTAACCACTAAACGCCATATTTCTACAATTGTTTTTTTGCTTCTTGCGTTTCCTTTCCTTTCCTGGTTTCTGGACACTGGGTGTCCTTTGAGTTATCCTCCTACTTAAACAATTGAAGCGAGAGCGCTTGAGGCAAAGGAACATGCTGACGCTTTCATACTTCTTTGGAGCCTCTACAGGACATAGCCTTCGCAAATCTGTGGCGGGTGCTTAGTAGGATTCTCACTTCTAAAGAATTTCCAGTAAAGCCTATGATACTGACTCGTTCACAGCGGCCCAGATTTGTCCAAGAAGCTTTCTCAGCTTGTGAAAATGGAGAAAAATCTTATGCGGTCCATGGAACTTGTTGGGCGTGAACGGCGTGAGGTTGCTCGCCAGCTCTCGATATGGGGTGAGGAGTGTGACGAGGATGTTTCTGATATTACGGACAAACTGGGTGTGCTCATCTTTGAGGTCGGTGAGTTGGAGGACCAATTTATCGACCGATACGATCAATACAGGGTTACTATCAAGGGTGTGCGGAACATTGAGTCTAGTGTTCAACCCAGCCGTGATCGTAGGTTTATCAATTGTCCCCCCCTTTGCTCTGGTGGTCCACTGATTCTTTTTTTTTTCAAAAAAAAAAATAGGCAAACAAAAGATCACCGACCAAATCTCTCAATTGAAGTACAAGGACCCTACATCCCCCAAGATTGTGGTGCTTGAACAGGAGCTTGTTCGTGCCGAAGCCGAGTCACTTGTAGCTGAGGCGCAATTGTCCAATATCACACGACAGAAAATCAAGGCTGCGTTTACGTACCAGTTTGATGCACTCAGGGAGCATTCTGAGAAACTTGCATTAATAGCTGGATATGGAAAGCATCTACTGGCGCTCATAGATGACACCCCAGTTACACCCGGCGAGACTAGACCGGCCTATGAAGGGTACGAAGCAAGCAAAGGGTATGTCACATTTTTCACCGCCAATTGATTTGATTTCGTATCTTTGGCTAATAGACTTGCCATATAGCATTATCCAGGACTGTGAGGATGCTCTTACGAACTGGGTCGAGGCCAAAGCTGCCGTTCGCTCCCGCCTTTCCCAGCGTGGGTCCCGCCCACGCCGCACCCATGGTCGTGGCACCCGTGCCGGCGCCGGCGAGGGGGTATCTCTTGCCGACCAAGACCGCCCCATGCAACGTGGTTCTGGCGAGTGGGTACCGGCAGAGGAACATCATCACCGCAATCATCGTGAGAATGATGATGATTATGAAGACATTAGCGATGACGAAGGCGGCCACCACAGCAGGCACATAAGCGGTGATGGGACTCGCGGTATGCGTGGTGCCCGCAATGGGACAGTCTTAAATGACGGCGGCGCTGAGCTCCACGCTCGGGATGGTGTACGTGAGGGCGTCCTGGCGGATTGACAGATGTCGAACGCCGGCAGAAGTGGCGTGCCGACAAGCGGTCAAGTGGGAAACGGAGGGTCTCGCAAGCGTGATAGCGGTATTGGCAGAATGGACGGTGGTAGGGGAAATGAGCATGGCGCTACTTCCATCAATACTGATGGAGGTGGTGTGAGCTCCAGAGAAAATGGCGGATATGGTGGAAGGTATACTTCTGATACCAATATTATGGGTATGATCAGGGCTTATGATAATGCACGTTCTAATAATTCTACTATACCCATTCCTGTTTCTGATGTTGGTCGCGATTCTGTATTACATGTTTCTCCCGGTGTCAAGGAATCTAATTCAAATTTGGCTCCTTATATGATTGGTCGTGGTGGTGTTGGTTCTCATGGTATTTCAATTCCTGCAACTGGCTACGGTACTGGATCCGGAACCCGGACGTACTCAGCACCTCGTGAAGATTATGGCCCTCGCTCATACGCGCAAAACCTAAGCGTGGACTCCTCTCGTGCTAGACCCTTCGAACATCGAACTGGTGAAATTCACGCCCTCCCACACCCCGAAGGAAGGTTATCTTACAGCCGTGATACCGCATTTGAGCTTGGTCTCGGCCCTAGCTCTGGTCAGCAACATTCTGGTAGCAGAGATTATGCTGCCGGAGAAGACGCTCCACCGGTTACCCGAAATTTAGCTGGTACTGCGGCGAACGCGGCATCGATCGTTGGGGATACGGCTGCAAGTGCGGCCTCTTATGCCGGTGATACAGCTATAAGTGCAGGATCCTATATGGCAGATGCTGTCTCCGCCATGAGGCCAATAGAGAAAGCGGCCAATGCGGCATCCTACGTTGGGGACACGGCAACTTCTGCGGCGTCGTATGCTGGAGATACAGCTGTAAGCGCTGGATCTTATATGGCGGATGCGGTCAAAGAGATGAAGCCGATGGATACCGCAGCGAATGCGGCGTCATACATCGCCGATACAGCTGGGAGCGTCGCTCCTCAGCCCGGCCCTTCTTCTAATCTTCAGGCAGAAACCGGCCCTGGGGCACACGAAAGGAACTATTCTCCGGGCGACGTCTACGATTATGGTAGCCGCACGTACGCTTCTAGTGACAGAGCTCCTATCACGCAGAAAATGGTGGACACGGCGGCGAATGCGGCATCCTACGTAGCAGATACAGCCAAAGATGTTGCTTCTGGTATCGGTCTTACTTCTAGTACTGGCCCCAGCACTACAACTGGAGAAAAACATTTTACGGGGTCTGGAAATGGCGATAATTCTTCTAGAGGGGGTATTACCGCAAGACCAGTTTCGGACACAATGGCGAACACTGCGTCCTACGTAGTAGATACGGCGAAAAGCGTTGCTTCTACTATGGGAATTACGCCTAGCAGTGATATTGGGAATTATGCCGAGAAAAAGGCAGGCTCAAACACAGTGCTTCGTGGTTATAGCATTGGTTCTGGCACTGGATTTGGATCTGGGAATGACTACAATCCTCGTCCCCGCTCCCGAGGTATGCCTGGAAGCTTTGACGATGGCTATAACTCTTATAATGCCGTGGGAATAGATGGAGGTGGTCCTAGGAGAGCAAATTCTGTTTCCTACAGTGGAGGAGCATACATTTCAGGACATGACAGTCATGATAATGCAGTTAGATGGAAAGAAGAAGAAGTTCCTTGGAATACCGGCCGAAACGGAGAAGATAAAACACGAATGGGCCAACGGCTGCGTCGTGAGAGTCTGGATCGTGATAGGATAGATCACGAACAGAAAGAGCATGAGAGAATGATGCGTGAGCGTATGGAGCGTGATATGCAGCATGCACGCGCGGATAGAGAGCGCATGGACCGCGAACGAAACGATCCAAACCATATGGGAGCATGGCCTGAACGACGCAGATCTCTTGGAGAAAGATACGTTATCACCAGAGACGAAGGTGCAGCAATGCTAGACTCAAGTCCACAGAGAATGCCAGCGATGGCGGGGATTTATGAGGCAGCGGGCCCTGTAGGAAATGCTCCCCGCGATGACGCCAACCGTAAATCTGAACGTCTCCAT